TTAAAATGGAGGCTACTTTAAGGGATCTCTGGGACAACATCAAGCATACTAACATTACCATTAAAGGGGTCCCAGAAGAAGAGTGAGAGAAAGGGACAGAAAACCCATTTGAGGAAATAATGGCTGAAAACTAGGATGGCCAGACATCCCAAATGGGCAAAAGAAACAGACATCCAAGTCCATGAAGCAAGGAGAGTTCCAAATAAGATGAACTCAAAGAGACCTCTACCAAGACACATTACAATGAAAACATCAAAAGTTAAAGATGAACAAAGAATCTTAAATGCAGCAAGAAAAAAACAACTAATTATGTACTAGGGAAGCCCAGCAGACTATTAGCTGATTCTTCAGCAGGCACTTTACAGACCAGAAGGGGGTGGCATGATATATTCAAAGTGCTGAAAGGAAAAACTTACGGCCACGAGTACTCTATTTGGCAATGTTATCTTTCAGAATTGAAGGAGAAATAAAGAATTCCCCAGACAAGCAAAAGCTAAAGGAGTTCATCAGCACTAAACCAGTCTTACAAGAAATGTTAAAGAGACTCCTGTAAACAGAAAAGTGGAGCCCATAACTAGAAATAAGAAAATACGAAAGAAAAGGTGTCACTCGTGAAGGCGAACATATAGTAAAGGTAGTGGACCAACCACCTCTATAGCTAGAATGAGCTTAAAAGACAAAGGTACTAAGCATCATCTATAGCTACAAAAATCAGCTAAGGATACGCAAAGCTAAAAGATGCCAAATACGATGTAACAAAACAAAACATAAAACATGGAGGCAGGTAGAAACGTAGTACTTTTAGAATGCACTCAAACTTAAGTGACCATCAACTTAAAACAGACTGCTATATGTGAACCTCTTGATAACCACAAACCAAAAATTTATAACAGGCACACAAAAAGTAAAGGGAAAGGAATACAAATGTACCACTGAAGAAATTCATCAGATCACAAGGGAGGAGAGCAAGAGAAGGAAGGAACAGAGAACTTCAAAAACAACCAGAAAACATTAATAAATGGCAATAAATACATACCTATCAATAATTACTTTAAATGTAAGTGGATTCAGTGCTCCAGCCAAAAGACATACTGGGACTGAATGAATAAAAGAACACCACCATATACATGCTGCCTACAAGAGACTCACTTCAGATCTAAAGGCACACACGGACTGAAAGTGAAGGGATGAAAAAAGATATTCCATGAAAGTGAAAACAAAATGAAAGCTGAGGAAGCAACACTTACAGCAGACAAAATAGACTTTTAAAGAAAGACTGTAACAAGAGACAAAGAAGGGCACTACATAGGATAAAGGGATCAATCCAAGAAGAGCATATAACATTTGTGAATATTTATGCACCCAACATAACAGTACCTGAATATAGAATACTAACAGACATAAAGAGAGAAATCTACCGTAATACATTAATAGTAGGGGACTTTAACACTCCATTTACATCAATGGATAGATATCCATATAGAAAATCAATAAAGAAACAACTGGGCTTAAACAACACATTAGACAAGATGGACTTAATAGATAGATACAGAACATTCCATCCTAAAACAGCAGGAATACATATTCTTTTTCAAGTGCATATGAAACATTCTCCAAGATAGAGGACATGTTATGCCACAAAACAAGTCTCAATAAATTTAAGGAGACTGAAATCATATCAAGCATCTTTTCCAATCACAATGCTATGAAACCAGAAATCAATTACAAGAAGGGAACTGGAAACAACACAAACACATGGAGGTTAAACAACGTGCTACTAAACAACCAATGAGTCAATAAAGAAATCAAAGAGGAAAGCAAAACATACCTTGAGACAAGTGAAAATAGAAACACAATGTTCCAAAATCTATGGGATGCAGCAAAAGCAGTTCTAAGAGGGACGCTTATAGTGATACAGGCCCACGTCACGAAACAGGAGAAAATCTCAAATAAACAATCTAACCTTACACGAAAAAGATCAAACAAAGCCCAAAAGTAGTAGAAGGAAGGAAATAGAGATCAGAGCAGAAATAAACCATTAGAGGCTAAGAAAGAAAGAAAAGATCAATAAAACTAAGAGCTGGTTCCTCAAAAAGATGAATAAAATTGATATATCTTTAGCCAGACTCACCAAGAAAAAAAAAGAGAGGTCCCAAATAGATAAAACCAAAAATGAGAGAGGAGAAGTTACAACCAACACTACAGAAATACAAAGGATCATAAGAAATAACCACGACCAATTATACACCAACATATTGAACAACCAAGAAGAAATTGAAAAGTTCCTAGAAACATACAATCTCCCAAGACTGAGTCAGGGAGAAACAGAAAATCTGAACAGACTGATTACTAATAATGAAATTGAATCAATAACCAAAAACCTTCCCAACAAACAGAAGTCTAGGACCAGATGGTTTCGCAGGTGAATTCTACCAAACATTTAAAGCATTAATGCATACCCTTCTCAAACTATTCCAAAATATTGAAGAGGAAAGAACACTTCCAAACTCATTCTACGAAGCCAGCATTACCCTGATACCAAAACCAGACAAAGATACTACCAAAAAAGACAACTACAGGCCAATATCTCTGATGTACATAGATGCAAAAATCCTCAACAAAATATTAGCAAATAAAATTCAACACTACATTAAAAGGATCATACGTCACGATCAAGTGGGATTTATCCCCAGAATACAAGAATGGTTCAATATCTGCAAATCAATCAACATGATACACCACATTAACAAAAGAAAGGATAAAACTCAGCTCAATAGATACAGAAAGAAACATCTGACAAAATTCAACCACTTATGATTAAAAGCTCTCAACAAAGTGGGTACACAGGGAACACAGCTCAACATAATAAAGGCCATCTATGACAAACCCATAGCTAACATCAAACTTAACAGTGAAAAGCTCAAAATTTTTCCTCGAAGATCAGAAACAAGACAAGGATTCTCACTCTTGCCACTTTCATTCAACATAGCATTGTCCTAGCTACAGCATTCGGACAAGAAATAGAAATAAAAGGCATCCAAATTTCAAAGAAAGAAGTAAAACTGTCACTATTTGCAGATGACATGATGCTACATAGAGAAAACCCTAAAGACGCCACCAAAAATATATTAGATCTAATAGATGAATTCAGTCAAGTTGCAGAGTACAAAATCAATATACAGAAATCTGTTGCATTTCTATCCATGAACAACAAACTATCAGAAAGAGAAATTAAGAAAACAATCCTATTTACAACTGCATCAGAAAGAATAAAATACCTAAGGATATATTTACCCAAGGAGGTGAAGGACCTGTAGTCTGAAACAAGACACTGATGAAAGAAATTGAAGATGACACAAATATATGGAAAGCTATATCCTGCTCATAGATTGTAAGAATTACTATTTTTTAAATGTCCATATTACACAAAGCAATCTGCAATTGAATGCAATCCATATCAAAATACAAATGGCATTTTTCATAGAACTAGAAGAAGCGATCCTAAAATCCTAAAACAAAAGACCCCGAATAGCCAAAGCAATCTTGAGAAAGAAGAACAAAGCTGGAAGTACCATGCTTCCTGGTTTAAAACTGTATTACAAAGCAACAGTAATCCAAACAGTATAGGTCTGGCACAAAAAGAAACCCACAGATGAAGAGAACAGAATAGAGAGCCCAGAAATAAACCCACAATTACATGGTAAATTAATCTTTGACAAAGGAGGCAAGAATACATAATGGGGAAAAGACAGTCTCTACAATAAATAGTGTTGGGAAAACTGGACAGCTACATGCAAAAGAATGAAACTGAACTACTTTCTGACACAATATACAAAAATTAACTCAAAATAGATTAAAGACCTGAATGTAACATCTGAACTCAAAAAATGCCTAGAAGAAAATATAGGCAGTGAACTCTTTGATATCAGTCTTAGCAATGCATTTTTGGATATGTCTCCTCAGGTAAGGGCTACAAAAGCAAAAATAAACAAATGGGACTTCATCAAACTAAAAAGCTTTTGCAGGGCCAGCCTCAGTGGCGTGGTGGTTAAGTTTGGCACTCTGCTTCAGCAGCTAGGGGTCAGGTCCCGGGCACAGACCTACACCTCTCGTCTGTCAGTGATCAGCTGTGGGGGCAGCTCACATACGAAAATGAGGAAGACGGGCAACAGATGTTATCTCCGGGCAAATCTTCCTCAGAAAAAAAAAAAAAGCTTTTGCACAATGAAAGCCACCATCAACAAAATGAAAAGACAACCTACTGTATGGGAGAAGATAATTGTAAATGGCACAGCCAATAAGGGGTTAACATCCAAAATATATAAAGAACTGACACAACTCAATATATATTTAAAACAAACAAACAAACAAACAATCTGATTTAAAAAATAGCCAGAAGATCTGAATAGACATTTTCCCAAAGAAGACATACGGATGGCCAACAGACACATGAAAAGATTGTCAACATCGCTAATTATCAGAGAAATGCAAATCAAAACCACAATGAGATATCACCTCACACCTGTCAGAATGGCTATTATCAAAGAGACAACAAATAACAACTGTTGGCGAGGATATAGAGAAAAGGGAACACTCATGCACAGTTGGTAGGAATGTAAATTGGTGCAGCCACTGTGGGAAACAGTATGGAGGTTCCTCAAAAAAACTAAAAATAGAACAACCATACGGTCCAGCAATTCTACTTCTGGGTATTTATCCAAAGAAAATGAAAATAGTAATTCAAAAAGATACATGCACCCCTATGTTCATTGCAGCGTGATTTATAATAACTAAGATATGGAACCAACCTAAGTGTCCACTGACAGATGAATGGATAAAGATGATGTGGTATACATATACAATGGAATATTACTCACCCACGAAAAAGAATGAAATCTTGCCATTTGTGACAACATGGATGGACCTAGAGGGTATTACTCTGTATGAAATAAGTCAGATAGAGAAAGACAAATACCATATGATCTCACTTATACATGGAATCTAAAAAAGAAATCAAAGGAATAAACAAAAAAAACCCACAAAACAAAGTCATAGATACAAAGAACAAACTGGTGGTCGCCAGAAGGGTGAGGAATAGGGAGATGGGCAAAATAGGTCAGGAGATTAAGAGGTGCAAATTTCCAGTTGTAAATCTTCTATCTGGATGTCGTGTACAGCATAGGGAATATAGTCAATGATACTGTAATGACTTTGTATCGTGACAGATGGTTACTAGACTTATTGTGGTGATCACTTTGTAAAGTACATAAATGTCAAATCACTATGCTGTACACTTGAAACTAACATAATATTGTATGTCAACTATAATTCAGTTTTTTAAAAGGTGTCTTTGCTGTGTCTTTTCTCAGGAAACATAAAGACGTAACTTCCAGAAAAAGTGAACTTTTAATATTGCTTTAAACACTGAAGAGTAAGAACATGCTAGAAATCCTTTGGTGTTATATTAATGCTTGTGATCCTGACATGAGGGACCATTAATGTTTTCTTTAAACAGTCAGACATGCCCCAATGTTTCTCTACTACTAAAAGAAAACTAGAGATATGTTTGATGAAGCAGGAGCCTTAGTCTTCTGTTTCTTCTTCAGTCTCTTCTTCAGTCTCTTCTTCAGTCTCTTCTTCCTCCTTTGTGCATATCATACAAAGCACAAGGCAGCAACATAAAATTAAAAGAATCAAAGGAATAAGCCACAATGCTAACAGGTAACCCCACTTCGCCTGCACTTCTGGCTTCTGGGCCTTAGGAGGTGGGCCACTATCATCACTACCTCCATCGCCTTCCTGTGTACAGAAGGGAGGTGCCCATCCACGGTCGCAGTGACAATGCTGTTTATTATTGCAGATCCCCTTCATGCTGCAGGTATCAGGCTGACAGTCTTGTGAAGGAGAAACCTTCTCAACGCACTTCTTCTGGATGCACATCTTTTCTGGACCACACATTGTGCCATCTTTCACTTGACCAATATCAGGTATGGACATCCCTAAATGATAATCGGTGCCCCAGCAAGTAGTGTTATTGAAGTGAAGCTGATGCACTGTAGAATGTTCTATCAGTTTAGGAATTACTCCCACATTTTCACACTGAACTCTCCCGCACAGGATATCAGAGTCATTACATCTTACGTATATTGTGCCCTGGATATCACAGTGACCAAATCGACTTCCTTGGGTGTTGATTTTCTGGTAGCACTTCTGAGATGCACTCCTTGCATCTTTGCCAAAAATCTCCTTGCACTGTTTGTCATGGTTATTGCATCTCTTTTCATAGCAGTAGGCACTGTCATTACAGGGAATCCCGTCCTGCACATATACATCTTCTGGGCACTGATGCGATGTCCCATTGCACCACTCTGGAAGGTCGCATTCATTGATCTGTTGTCTGCACAAAGACCCTGATGGCATGAACTTGCAGTCTTGGCAACAAAGCCCGAAAGCACAAGTAGCTCCAGACTTCAGAGTGCAGTTCAACAGACAACAGGGATCTTTTATACATTGGTGTGTGGTTCCACAGTCACATTCCTCTCCTTCTTCAACCACTAGGTTCCCACAATACTGCAGTATATCCCATGTATATGGAGGAGGCTGAATACATATTCCACTACGGAAACTATTGTCCCAATACTGGGCATAACTGCAATTGCTGAATCTATCTGTCACCTGTCTGGAGGGATACATTATGCAAAACTCAAGTGCACATACACACCATTGATCGTCATGAGCCATACCCAAATTATGACCAAGCTCATGGGACACAAGAAGTGCAAAAAGAAGCAGACTCCTATCTTCAAAAACATCAACTCCAGAATTGTGAGGACTCTGGCATACTCCTCCAACGTAGGCAAGACCAATCGTTATGCCAAAGTGTTTTTTAATGAAAAGATGGGCAATATCATGTGGCAGTCGGGCATCAAGTTGTAAATACTTCCACAATCCAAAATCTTCCAGAACCCTATATATGTCATCTGTGGCAACTTGGTTTCCTTCAGTCCAGATCTCAAGCCCAGTCAAAATTATATCAAGCTCAAAAGGGCCATAGAGCGCATCTAATATATTGACGACACTAACTACTTCGGTCTGCACTACGGACACATTACTTTGAGAGTGAACATATCGAAGATGGTCCACGACCACTACTAGCTCAAGAAACCGCAAGTGAGTCCACCAGCCTGTAAAAGAACTTTGCCTCAGAGTGGAATCATATGACTCTTGCAACTTCAATTGGCGTGCTATTTCTTCTTCTGTTAACCCACATCTCCTAGGTGGGAACTGTGTATCATCATCTATCTTGTAGACCAGGTGTTCAAATGTGGCAGAAAACCTAACTGGCTCAATTTCATAAGCAAGTCCATTTATCTGTAGCATTCCTCGAAAGCCCCCAGAACAGGTACTGAGGGCAACCAGGGACGCGGGGACCCCCTCCACATAACCATGATAGTAGCAGTCATCAGGAACAAAAGGCTGATCCTGGTGGAGGGAACGCTGGTCTGTGTAGGTGAACACCGGGAGATGTCTGGAAACCAAGAACTTCTTGACCTTCATGTGGACAATGTGTCTCTGGCCACCAAACCGCAGGCTGTAGGAGAGCCAGGCTGGAGCCTCTGCATCTCTGCTGCTGCCAGTCACCTTCAAGGGGATCACCGATTCCGGGGAGGAGAAGCGCTGAGAGGGCCTGGACTGAGAGTGTCCAGAAAGGGACAGAGACACCCCAAACCAGAGCAGCAGAAGAGTGACCCTGATGTGCACCAGGGTCTTACCCATTGCCATCATGGAGCTGTCATTATGGAGCTATCTGTCCAGGACAGAAGAGGGCAGAACATGAGGCACTGCTGGTCTGGCTCCTCCCTCTGAGCTGCTCAGGGTGCAGCGCTGACCCTTATGGATTTATGTCCTGGCAGACCTGGACCATCAAAGCTGCAGTGCTGAAAGTGAAAATAGAAAGAAGAGCTAGGATGGGTGGGTAGGAGAGGGAGGGTGGGAGAGAGAGAGAAAGAAGAAAGTAGACAGAAGTGATTCTTCAATTGGGACAAGGCTTGAATCAATAAAGTGCCTGAGACTGTCTTTCATACACATGAAAGGAGAAGGAGTAGGGGAAGGGCAGGCTTCCAGGGGAAGAGGTGAAGGAGATTCATCACAGGTGGATAATTGTTGAACCTGGATGGTGGATACACAAGGATTCATTACATACTAGTCTCTAAACATGTAAACTGGCATCAAATTTTCCACATTGAAAAAGACTGACATCTGACTCCCACATTTTCCCTCCACCCAAAACTCTACTGGTACCCTGCTATCTTCAGCAAGCATGTGGACAAACAACCCCAAACCCACCATTTTTGTCCCTTTATTCAGACAGTTTGTTCCATCTCTCCTTTTCTTCTGCAGACATCTTATCTAGCCCCACTCTGTTTGAAGTTAGCAAAGTAAGCCCCGTGTAAGGGACTCATTACTTGGGGAGACCCCATCCAATCAAGACAAATTTTTATCTGCAGAAAAGCCCTGGACATTCAAAGGAAGGCAGCCACACTGATGGGGAAACAGGGAGTGGGGCTGCTATTTTGGGGCAAGGCAAACAGCCCAGTTGCCTCCAATCACACAAGGAGGCAGCAGGCTGCTCTCCACCCAGCCCAGTGCATCATGTTCTCAATCATAAGAGACTCATCTTGGTTCTATAAATACAGACTCTATTCTCTTCTTTACATGGCTGGTGAGTTAGCTGAGTTCTCTAGAGAAAGCTGGATTGAGGAGTTTAAGCCTAGAGTCAGTACATTAAAATGTTCAAAAGACCATAATTCGAGTGGACTTATGTCATTCCCATTGAAAATGAAAATTTTGGTTCAGGTAAAAGCTAATTGTGCTCATTGACTGACTTTCAGTTAAAAGTAACAATCATTTGCTTAATATTTGACAGCAAAAGTTAAAACAAATGTGGAGACATATTTAAACACATACTGGTGGCCTGAATCTTCTAGGTAAGAACAGAAACAGGATCAGCAGTATAGAGCATGAGAAATAACCTCACTATTATATCAAGAACACCTGTATACATCTGGGACTTTTCCAGAACTAATAGATGGCTCCTGGAAACCAAGAATACTAGATGAAACCTCTCAGGGAAAGCACCTCTGATAGAGGTGAAATCCTAATTACCACATTTCCTATCCAAGTCTCTCTTCAAGATATCCTTGGTATTTGCTACAGATTTGGAGATATTAAGATAGGAATGTGTGAGTTGTAAGAGGATTAATAAAGATGAAAGATCATAAAGAGGAAAATGACCTCTATTAAGCTTTATCAGGAAAATGATGTGGTAAAAATAGAAAAGTCCATTGCCAAGAGTCTTTGAGACTCTTGTCTTTGCCACCATTGCATTGCTCCAAAGACAAGCCCTGAAGGAACATGGCATTAGCACTAATTATCTGACTGGTGTCACTCCAAAGCCCTTCCTTTTTTTATGACCAGCACTTCAAGCAGTGTGAGAACCTTCCTCTGCATCAGTCATGAACTCTTTCTTCTATTTCTAGAAACTATATCAAACTCATCAAAATCCCTCTCTTATGTCTCAACTCACTCTCGTTCACAACCTAACTCAGCGTTTCTCAAACTTGGGTCACAAACCACACAGGGTTATGAAATCGATTTAGGGAGCCACAAGTAATTGAAACATGATAAGGTAGAAAATATCAGAGAACTTCACAAAGATCAGTGTCACCTTCTCTTACCTGTAACCACAAAAGCTACAGCAGCATTCTGCTGACACTCCTTATGCTAATTATCAACTATTTTCTGAATTCCAAAAATAAAATTTATATTGTGTCTATGAAGCTAGAGATGGGAATCTGCACATCGTATTTCTCCATTGCTATTTGGCTTGCTGAAGAGTTTTGCCAAGAAGGGTGCTAGAGGAAGAATAAAAGGCAAAAGGAGAGGACAAGGGACTTGCTACTACCTATTTACCTGTCGTTACTTTCTGTGAATCCTCAGCAATGGTGCTTTGCTCCGGTGGTGAGAGTTGGTTATCACATTCCCAGGACCGGCTCCATCAAGCCCTGTCAAAGGCACAAGTACCTGGTGGACAGCGCGCCCTCCCCAGAAGTCTGAAAGCCAGATGTACACAGCCATCCTCCAGCACCCTAAGCAACCCATGCCAGGGTTCCTTTCTCAGATGTTCCAGGCCATAGCACAAAGCAGCTTGATATAAGCCCCATGTGTGTAGCACCTCTCTCTCCAAGATCTGAGTCACAGTTTGGAGGACCTTCTTCCACCCAAGGAACCAGCACCAGCTCAGCCTTACCTTAGAAGAGGTACAGCTATCAGCTGCACGGTCTCCCTTTTCTGAGTTCTTAAACTGCCAGCATCACCTGGGCAATGCTCTGTCTTCTACAGTCAAGGTCCAGATCTTTGCGGCCCACTTGGAGAGTTTCTAGGTTACGATAACCCCAATCACTTCCCTTTGTTCCCCCATTCTTAGGAGTGGGGCTCCTTCTGGCAACTCATACCTCTGTGTTCCTCAGTGTGCCCTTTTTATCGTTTTAGTCCTCTAACACCCTTTCAAGAATTCCCTATAATAATTACACTTGCTGGGTTTCTCGTTTCTGGACTAGATCTTGACAGATACAGGACTAGGTACCAGGAGTGCTGCCAAGAGAGACAAGACAAAACAGGACTGTGGGATTGGTTTGGGCATGTCCATGGCTTTAACGCACTGCTGAACTCCTGTCCAGTGGGGAATGGGCATATAGTGACATCACAATCAATTAAATTACCACCCCATGTTCGTTGTCATGAAGCATCCTACAGAAGCAAGTGTGTGGGGGACTAAGTGAGGGCTATGATGATGACTAAGGTCACCTCCAGGACTGAGGGGTGGGGTGGCCATACTGCATTCTATTGGAGAATTTGCACAATAAGCTCAAGGCTCTAAATTCTCAGCTCAGAGAGCTGATAATGGTGGGCCTAAAAGAATCTCTCATTTGTTTTAGCCACATGGCCAACCTCACAGGAAATCGAATTCAACTGTGGAGTTACAGAATCACAACGTAAGCTGAGTACATAGATTCGCCAAGACTCTAGAGGGAAATTTATGATACTGACTGAGAAGGGAAAAATCCTTGACACTTGCAAAGGGGAATTCCAGGTGGACTTAAGTGATTCTGAGTATCTAGATCCCCTCAATTATTCCTGAGACTCCTTCACCAGGGAGAGAACCCAGACCTCTCCTGTCTGAGGAATTTAGCCACCTCTACCTTGAAACCCTGTAATGATCTCTGCTGGGGAACTTATCCCTCAAGGGGATGCCTAGCCACCTCAAGACATGATATAATTCAACAGGAATTTATATCTACTTAATAGCTTGAAAATATCGAAAGCAAACATCAAGAGATCAAAGAGGAGAAATAGCACAGTAAAGAAAGCTACTTGTGGGTATTAACACACTTCTATCAGCAACTGATAGAACACTCAGACAAAACAAATGAACAGGGAAATAGAAGATTTAAGCAAGATTAATCAATTAGCCTAAGTGTCACATAAATCACCATATCCAACAATTTCAAATACTCATCATATTCAAATGCACATGAGATATTTACCAGAATAGATGATATCCATGGTCATAAAGGAAGTCTCAATAAACGGTAAAAATAAAAATGGCAGGGTGTCAGCAACATGGTGGAGTGAGCTGTTCCCTTTCTCTCCCCCTTTGAACTACAACTAAATGGATATGTGTTGATCAATGGAGGATACCCACACAGCACCTCAGGATGCCTAAGAGAGCCATCAGAAGGTGAATGGACTACCCCCAGGGAGGAGGTGGAGATAGGTGAGAATACTCTGGCCCCAAGCCAGCCCAGTATCCATAAGCGACTGCTCTCCTGACTGAAGTGCTCATAGGACCACTGCAGCTCCAAGGGTGGGCGTGAGCCTTGGTATCACTGTGGAAACAGGTGACAGCAGCCCTGAGCCCTCTGTGATTGCTCTTTTGTCCACTGACAAAACCCACAGTCCCACCGCAGCCCCAGGAAGTGACTTAGGCTTGGAGCCAGTGGGGAGGCCCCACCCACCAAGCACAAAGGCTGGTGCGGCTTAGGAGCAGACAGCGGCAGAGCTGCAAGTCCAGGTAAACAAACCCCTGGCTGCTTTAAATGCCGATAGTTCTGCTGCAGCCCCAAAGGGGGAACCCCACCAGGGCTGTTAGAACAGGCAGTAACAACCCTGAGCCCCTGCATGATCGCTCCTTGGGACATCAGGTAAACCTACAGTCCCATTGTGGCCCCAGGGAGAGACTCAGCTTGGTCCCAGTGGGGAGGCCCCACCTACCAAGCACAAAAGCTGCTGTGACCTAGCAGCAGACAGCAGCATATCTGCAGCATGGGCGAAAGTGCCCCCAGCTGCCACAAATGTCTACAGTATCACAGCATCCCCAAAGGGGCAGTACAATTGGTGGGAATGTGGGAGCAGGTGGCAGCAGCCCTGAGCCCCTGTGCGATCACTCTCTCAACTGGTGGGAGAGTCCATAATCCCAGCACAGTTCCAGGGAGCAGCACTGGCTAAGACCCAGCAGGGAGGCCCCATCCACCAAGCACGACAGCTGCTACAACCTAGGACCAGACAGCAGTGGAGCTGCAAGTCCAGGCGAACGAGCTCCTGGCTGCCTCAAAAGCCCGTAACACCACTGAGGCCCTGAAAGGGGATGCACACCTGGGTGGATCTGTAGGAGCAGGCGGCAACAGCCCAGAGCCCCTGTGTGATTGTTCCCACAGTTGGCGGGAGACCCCTCAGGGTCCCTGCAATAACAAGGAGTGGCTCAGGCTCAGACAGGCTCTGTTGATGGGGATCCTGGTGGGTGCAGATTACATAGCTCCTGCCACCTCCCCATAGTGGCAGAAAGTGGAAGCCGGGACCAAATTCTATCTCTATGTGGAGGCACAAATCCATGCCATCAAGCAGTATGAAAAAATATATTAAATCTCCAGAACACAAGAAAAATGACAAGTACCCAGAAATCAATCCTGAAGACACAGAAATATATAACCTAAATGATAAAGAATTCAAAGTAGCTGTCACTAAAAAATTCAATGAGTTAAAAGAGAATACAGATAGACAATTCAACGATTTCAGGAGTTACTTCACAGAAGAGCTTGAAACTATCAAGAGGAACCAATCAGAAATGTTGGAGATGAAAAACACAATGGATGAGACAAAGAAAAATATGGACTCTCTGAACATTAGGGCTGATAATATGGAGGACAGAATTAGCTGTCAGGAGGACAGGAATATAGAAATGCTGCAGAAT